GAATAATAATAATAATAATACATTTATTGTCCCAAAGATGATAAAACATATAGGAATAGTCACTTTAAATCTAAAGAATAAAATATTCAATGCATATAAAGCATTGTCGAGTAAATATGTTCTCAAGCGAGTTTTGAAAATAGAAATATTGGTGGAACTAACATATTTACGGTAGGGAATGTGGAAATCAGCGCAATTCCTCGTATTATAACTTTGGACTTGTTGGATTCTAGTAAACTTATTTTTATTTGTGTATACGTATACACACATCTCTAAAATTCAAATACTCGTCATTGTTAAAATTTTTGATGCTTTAAAAATCGGTGTCTACAGGATGCTTTGCTTGAGGTATCGCAAATAATTTTTAAAATCCGTGTTTGTACAATAAATACATCTGGTGTTCGAATGGACACACCCCAGAAACATATGCCATATCGTAATCGGGAAGCTACTTGTGCATATAATATAAATAATTGTTCACGTAACAAAATGTTCTTAAGATTTCGGAACATGAAACATAATGAGTACAATTTTGAGATCGAGTTGGTACAATGTTCTTTCCAGTTTAAACCAGCGTCTATAATTAGCGTCTATAATTCCAAGAAATTTAACTGATAAAGTAGGCTCAATCAAGATTTCATCAGTTTTTATTGTTACAGTTTCGCATTTTTTTCGGTAGTTGTGGAACCGAATTATATTTGTCTCATTACTATTGAAATAGAGACACTTCTGATCACACCATGAAAAGAGGTTACCCACCGCAGTTGTACACTTTTGTTTCAAGGTGTTTTCACATTGGTCAGAAACAAATCTGCACATCTAATAAAGCTGGCAGAAGATTCGATATTATCCATGTCATTCGTGTAGAATAAAAATAAAATTGGACCCAAAACAGAGCCTTGGGGAACGCCCATAGAGATATTTTGATATGCAGATTCAGTGGAAGATATATCTATATCGATGAACTCGTGTAGTGAACATCATATTAGTGCAGTAAGCCGAAAACTTGTTGTGTGTGGTGAACCGTGGGTTAGTTGTCTTTAAAAATGCAATCGAACAGTAAACTGAAAAACAAGTTTGTCAGAGGAATTGTGAACAACGTATTGAGATATGCGATGGAATTGGCCGATACTTGGTGACATTTTTTTCTTCGTGTTAGCTTACGAACTTTCCAGTCCAAACTGTCAAAAGGAACAAAAACTCTCTAGGTGTATAAGTCAGCAACACCATGTACCGTAGTGTAGATTCTCTCCGTAAAATTCTGCAGTGCACTCAATTCTTTGTTTTATATAGCATGAAATGAGCTCGTGACGAGTGAAGATTAAAATCAAATGCACGCAAATTGAATAGAATTGCAGGTGCAATAAGCACCCAGCGGAAATTGTTCAATTTGTAAAAAGTTACTTGTTCATTCAACAACCTCAGAGAGAAAATTTGAAATTCAAAAGTAAAATACACACCAATGACTGGAAGAAAGTTCGCCAGGCATTTGTAGAATGTAAATACTCTGAAAATTGGTCTTTGCGAGTGTTTCTGCAATGAATGCAGTTTCATATCGCTGGCACGGAATTGATCCAATCTTGAAGGCGGTGCAATATTGGCGACTTCGCCATTTGTTCGTCGCATTCGCCATATTATATCCAAGATCTAGATTAAATATTTGAATCGAATCAACGATATACTTGTTATATCTCACTTTTGAAATATAAGTTTTTGGAAAATGTTTATTTTGAAAAAATGGAAACAGTAATGTGGAACACATTACTGTTTCCATTCAGTTACAGAATACAAAATTCTGAAAGTAACAAACGTGTACTTGAATGCAATTCTAATAACTAACTTATTTCGTCACGCAGGACGGAATTTATAAGAAGATAATTGTTAACATAAGTTCAAATTAGAACAAAGAGAATAAAGAGTCTTTGTGTCGTCTTTAAAGAAGTGTGTTTTAGCAGAGAGAAAAAAGTTCGGGTGTCATCTGCTTCTCTATCGCATTTATCGCAAAGAAAAAATTCTTTCGAAACAAATACTTCTATATGAACAGTGAATTATGCAGAAGATACTTTTCTCTATTCAGTTTGTATTTCAATCATTCGTTGTGGAATAAAAATCAGATATCATTTACATGAGTTGTACTTTAAATGAATGGTAATAAATTGCACTTACATAGAACACTGTCATCCTCACTGGTATACACCGATGTTTCGCCTTAAGACACTTGCCCTAAGGCTCTTCAGTACTGGTGGTACTGACTGGTAACGAAAGTCAGGTGTAGATGACGTGCAAAAACTCTCATATGGAAAGGTTTATAGAGTTCGTCAGAGCCGTACTCTTACCATATGACCTGAAACACCACTCACCATACGAACTAATCGGCTTCGTTAAGAAGCTGGGTTTATTATTTGGTCGAATGTGAATAGGTGTGAGCCACAATAAACCCTTGCGGGTTGCGATGGAGGGTCGAATAGACCCACTCACTTTAGACATAACCTAACCTAACCTAACTCCTTCACAAACAAATTCATTTCCAGATTGAATTAATCCAATTCTTCATAATTATTTCATCATACTGGAGGACGACCGCATTTCAAAGTTCTATTAAAATAATTTTCAAATACAGTACTTCCAAACAAATGAGCGAGTGGAAGGGGGCCATGGAAAGGCCGGCGAAATAATCTGACCTCACATAGTTAGATTTTTCCTCGAGTTGTCATCTCAATATCAAGAACTATCAGATAGAACCTGCAAACATACAAGAATAACGACAGAAATTCGGGTGATTACCTCACAAATGATCGAAAACTTCAACAATAAATGTCATAAGTTAGATTTCTGTTGAGAAGTAAAAGTTGGATTGTAGTCAAGAAGAACATATTATGAGATATTTGGTCAAAATACAGTTATTTTCATATGAAACAGAAATATCTCCAATTTTTCCAGGCAGAGCAAAAAGCGACCCTGATTTGCTAATTACAATTTTACATGGAATAATCTCTAGGAGTATCACTAAGAGAGTACACATTTTTTGTGAAAACAATTTTTGAAAAGCTTGTACTGTCGTTTTTTCGAACTAAATTTTTGCGATCAAAAATTCTTCAAGTCAAAACGCTTTCATTTCGAAGAATCATCCGAAAAAAAACTTACTTAA